CTGTATATAGTAGACAAGTGGTGGAACACTTCACAGTCTGTATATAGTAGACAAGTGGTGGAACTCTTCACAGTCTGTATATAGTAGACAAGTAGAAGAACACTTCACAGTCTGTATATAGTAGACTAGTGGTGGGACACTTCACAGTCTGTATATAGTAGACAAGTGTTGGGACACTTCACAGTCAGTATATAGTAGACAAGTAGAAGAACACTTCACAGTTTGTATATAGGAGACAGGTGGTGGAACACTTCACAGTCTGTATATAGTAGACAAGTGGTGGGACTCTTCACAGTCTGTATATAGTAGACAAGTAGAAGAACACTTCACAGTCTGTATATAGTAGACTAGTGGTGGGACACTTCACAGTCTGTATATAGTAGACAAGTGTTGGGACACTTCACAGTCAGTATATAGTAGACAAGTAGAAGAACACTTCACAGTCAGTATATAGTAGACAAGTGGTGGAACACTTCACAGTCTGTATATAGTAGACAAGTAGAAGAACACTTCACAGTCTATATATAGTAGACAAGTGTTGGGACACTTCACAGTCTGTATATAGTAGACAAGTGTTGGGACACTTCACAGTCTGTATATAGTAGACAAGTGGTGGAACTCTTCACAGTCTGTATATAGTAGACAAGTGGTGGAACACTTCACAGTCTGTATATAGTAGACAAGTGTTGGGACACTTCACAGTCTGTATATAGTAGACAAGTGTTGGGACACTTCACAGTCTGTATATAGTAGACAAGTGTTGGGACACTTCACAGTCTGTATATAGTAGACAAGTGGTGGGACTCTACAGTCTGTATATAGTAGACAAGTAGAAGAACACTTCACAGTCTGTATATAGTAGACTAGTGGTGGGACTCTTCACAGTCTGTATATAGTAGACAAGTGGTGGAACACTTCACAGTCAGTATATAGTAGACAAGTGGTGGAACACTTCACAGTCAGTATATAGTAGACAAGTGGTGGAACTCTTCACAGTCTGTATATAGTAGACAAGTGGTGGAACTCTTCACAGTCAGTATATAGTAGACAAGTGTTGGGACACTTCACAGTCTGTATATAGTAGACAAGTGGTGGAACTCTTCACAGTCTGTATATAGTAGACAAGTGGTGGAACTCTTCACAGTCAGTATATAGTAGACAAGTGGTGGAACTCTTCACAGTCAGTATATAGTAGACAAGTGGTGGAACTCTTCACAGTCTGTATATAGTAGACAAGTGGTGGAACTCTTCACAGTCTGTATATAGTAGACAAGTGGTGGAACACTTCACAGTCTGTATATAGTAGACAAGTGTTGGGACACTTCACAGTCAGTATATAGTAGACAAGTAGAAGAACACTTCACAGTCTGTATATAGTAGACAAGTGGTGGAACACTTCACAGTCTGTATATAGTAGACAAGTGTTGGGACACTTCACAGTCTGTATATAGTAGACAAGTGGTGGGACTCTACAGTCTGTATATAGTAGACAAGTGTTGGGACACTTCACAGTCTGTATATAGTAGACTAGTGGTGGGACTCTTCAGTCTGTATATAGTAGACAAGTGGTGGAACACTTCACAGTCTGTATATAGTAGACAAGTAGAAGAACACTTCACAGTCAGTATATAGTAGACAAGTAGAAGAACACTTCACAGTCAGTATATAGTAGACAAGTAGAAGAACACTTCACAGTCAGTATATAGTAGACAAGTAGAAGAACACTTCACAGTCTGTATATAGTAGACAAGTGGTGGAACACTTCACAGTCTGTATATAGTAGACAAGTGGTGGAACTCTTCACAGTCTGTATATAGTAGACAAGTAGAAGAACACTTCACAGTCTGTATATAGTAGACTAGTGGTGGGACACTTCACAGTCTGTATATAGTAGACAAGTGTTGGGACACTTCACAGTCAGTATATAGTAGACAAGTAGAAGAACACTTCACAGTTTGTATATAGGAGACAGGTGGTGGAACACTTCACAGTCTGTATATAGTAGACAAGTGGTGGAACTCTTCACAGTCTGTATATAGTAGACAAGTAGAAGAACACTTCACAGTCTGTATATAGTAGACTAGTGGTGGGACTCTTCACAGTCAGTATATAGTAGACAAGTAGAAGAACACTTCACAGTCTGTATATAGTAGACTAGTGGTGGGACTCTTCACAGTCAGTATATAGTAGACAAGTAGAAGAACACTTCACAGTCTATATATAGTAGACAAGTGTTGGGACACTTCACAGTCTGTATATAGTAGACAAGTGTTGGGACACTTCACAGTCAGTATATAGTAGACAAGTAGAAGAACACTTCACAGTCTGTATATAGTAGACAAGTAGAAGAACACTTCACAGTCAGTATATAGTAGACAAGTGGTGGAACACTTCACAGTCTGTATATAGTAGACAAGTAGAAGAACACTTCACAGTCTATATATAGTAGACAAGTGTTGGGACACTTCACAGTCTGTATATAGTAGACAAGTGTTGGGACACTTCACAGTCTGTATATAGTAGACAAGTGGTGGAACTCTTCACAGTCTGTATATAGTAGACAAGTGGTGGAACACTTCACAGTCTGTATATAGTAGACAAGTGTTGGGACACTTCACAGTCTGTATATAGTAGACAAGTGTTGGGACACTTCACAGTCTGTATATAGTAGACAAGTGTTGGGACACTGGGACACTTCACAGTCTGTATATAGTAGACAAGTGGTGGGACTCTACAGTCTGTATATAGTAGACAAGTAGAAGAACACTTCACAGTCTGTATATAGTAGACTAGTGGTGGGACTCTTCACAGTCTGTATATAGTAGACAAGTGGTGGAACACTTCACAGTCAGTATATAGTAGACAAGTGGTGGAACACTTCACAGTCAGTATATAGTAGACAAGTGGTGGAACTCTTCACAGTCTGTATATAGTAGACAAGTGGTGGAACTCTTCACAGTCAGTATATAGTAGACAAGTGTTGGGACACTTCACAGTCTGTATATAGTAGACAAGTGGTGGAACTCTTCACAGTCTGTATATAGTAGACAAGTGGTGGAACTCTTCACAGTCAGTATATAGTAGACAAGTGGTGGAACTCTTCACAGTCAGTATATAGTAGACAAGTGGTGGAACTCTTCACAGTCTGTATATAGTAGACAAGTGGTGGAACTCTTCACAGTCTGTATATAGTAGACAAGTGGTGGAACACTTCACAGTCTGTATATAGTAGACAAGTGTTGGGACACTTCACAGTCAGTATATAGTAGACAAGAAGAAGAACACTTCACAGTCTGTATATAGTAGACAAGTGGTGGAACACTTCACAGTCTGTATATAGTAGACAAGTGTTGGGACACTTCACAGTCTGTATATAGTAGACAAGTGGTGGGACTCTACAGTCTGTATATAGTAGACAAGTGTTGGGACACTTCACAGTCTGTATATAGTAGACTAGTGGTGGGACTCTTCAGTCTGTATATAGTAGACAAGTGGTGGAACACTTCACAGTCTGTATATAGTAGACAAGTGGTCTGTATATAGTAGACAAGTGGTGAACACTTCACAGTCTGTATATAGTAGACAAGTGGTGGGACTCTGTATATAGTAGACAAGTCTTCACAGTATATAGTACACAAGTGGTGGGACTCTTCACAGTCAGTATATAGTAGACAAGTGGTGGGACTCTTCAGTCTGTATATAGTAGACAAGTGGTGGGACTCTTCACAGTCTGTATAGTAGACAAGTGGTGGGATACAGTCTGTATATAGTAGACTAGTGGTGGGACACTTCACAGTCTGTATATAGTAGACAAGTGGTGGGACACTTCACAGTCTGTATATAGTAGACAAGTGGTGGGACTCCACAGTCTGTATATAGTAGACAAGTGGTGGGACACTTCACAGTCTGTATATAGTAGACAAGTGGTGGAACTCTTCACAGTCTGTATATAGTAGACAAGTGGTGGAACTCTTCACAGTCTGTATATAGTATATATATAGTAGACAAGTGGTGGAACACTTCACAGTCATATAGTATATAGTAGACAAGTGTTGGGAACACTTCACAGTCTGTATATAGTAGACAAGTGGTGGAACACTTCACAGTCTGTATATAGTAGACAAGTGGTGGGACACTTCACAGTCTGTATATAGTAGACAAGTGGTGGGACTCTACAGTCTGTATATAGTAGACAAGGTCAGTCTGTATATAGTAGACAAGTGGTGGGACTCTTCACAGTCTGTATATAGTAGACAAGTGTTGGGACACTTCACAGTCTGTATATAGTAGACTAGTGGTGGGACTCTTCAGTCTGTATATAGTAGACAAGTGGTGGAACACTTCACAGTCTGTATATAGTAGACAAGTGGTGGAACACTTCACAGTCTGTATATAGTAGACAAGTGGTGGGACTCTACAGTCTGTATATAGTACACAAGTGGTGGGACTCTTCACAGTCTGTATATAGTAGACAAGTGGTGGGACTCTACAGTCTGTATATAGTAGACAAGTGGTGGGACTCTTCACAGTCTGTATATAGTAGACAAGTGGTGGGACTCTTCACAGTCTGTATATAGTAGACAAGTGGTGGGACTCTACAGTCTGTATATAGTAGACAAGTGTTGGGACACTTCACAGTCTGTATATAGTAGACAAGTGGTGGGACTCTACATTCTGTATATAGTAGACAAGTGGTGGGACTCTACAGTCTGTATATAGTAGACAAGTGGTGGGACCCTTCACAGTCTGTACACAGAAAACAAGTTTGGGACTTTCTACAGTCTGTATACAGAAGACAAGGGATAGGGACTTATTTTCATGTAATTTTTAAATTAAAAAATTGTCCAAAATCAAGTGTCAATGCAAATAAAAAAATGTTTGCTTTGGAAACCACAAAATTTGGGCACCAGGAAAATATATTATTTTACTGCTAACTACAGGAAAATGTGTAATTATCATTAAGGGTTAATTACTTACAAGAATAAATACAAACTCTTGAGTTGTTGAAAAACAGAGTTTTATATAATCATAGCACTTTCATAACAAATAAAGTGAAAACCTTTTCACAATGCTCAGGTTTCTCTTCATTACATATATACAATGTACATAAATGTGTGTAATATATGTGGACTTATATTAAAGGGAATATGAATGATATCTACATTCGCCATTTCACATTTCATCAAAGTTTGGCATAATTTGGAAAAACCTCATCTGTACAGCTTTTAAAGTTGCACCTCACAAAATGATCATCTTCTGCTAAAGGGTATATGCTGTCTAACTTGCTATATCTGTGATTTTTGAGGAGTTATCTCCCTTACAAATATTCTCATAGCTTTATGTCTATGTTCAAAATGACTTATCATCAATTTAATAATTTATTTTTCTTGTGTATTGCTTATTACTTTTTAGAACTAGTAGTGGTCTGTTAGTATTTTATCAGGGTGACAAATGTTACATGTAAACTATGAATGCTGAGGGCAATGCTATTTATATACATCAGGTTCATCCTTGTGTATATGTAGGAACAAGTCATCATTTATATTCATATCATTACCCAGTTACTGGCATTCTCTAGTTTGATAACATGCTGAATAAACTAATCACAATATGCCAAAGGCTGAAAAATATGATGAACTATGCATACAACACCCAGGAGTGACATGTACTGTCATGTGAAATAGAAGTGAAATATCAACTAAAATATACATGTACATTTTTTCAGTCATTTAAGCCTGTAGAATCAATGATGAGTCCTAGAAGGATTACATAGCTGTACAAAGTATGATTCAGTTTGAGGAATATTATTTGTTTCTACTGTATCTACAAGTATAATTCAAAATTGGTATTAAAAAGGTAGTATTTGTGTATTTTTCAACAATCTATGAAAATTATGCAATTGATGATCAAAGATTCATATTTCAGCTCCTCTAGCAGCTGGGGTTATGTTTCCTTGTACAAACAAACAACCAGCAAACATACATGTAAACAAAAACTCAATTCCAATAACAAAATAACACACCACAAGAGTAATTATTAAAATATATGTATGTGTGTGTCCGGTTAAATATAATACACTTTGACTGAAATTCACAAAAAATACAAATATGGTATTGAAATCCAAACATGTATCACCCAAATGATTATGAATTTATAACAATATTATTTCAAATTTCAATTATATTTCAGTTAATCTAAAAGAAGTGTACAACGTGTTGCAAAAATGTTCATTCATTTCTGATCCAAATGTTTTAATTCAATATGGATCTATGCACAAAAATCTATCAATTATGTTAACATAAGTACATGCAATCGTGTCAATGTATAATATTGAAAAAGAAATTATGTCATACGTTAAACATAAACTGAAGTACAATTCACATACAAATTCATTTGTTTTACTACCTTATTGTTTTTCGTTCAATCCTTCTTTTTCTGTAACCATTTTCAGGATATACATTGAAGGCCTTTAATGTCAAATTCAGGATGTCACAAGGTCAAAGGTCATTTTAATAAAGACAAACAGTTTTATATTGATCATTTTACATAACAACAAAAAAAAATTTGTTTTGTTTAATAGTATTGATTGATAAATTGTAAAGAATGCACTACTGTCGAAGTGAGAAGATTAAAAAAGTAAGGGAGATAACTTTACAAAAAAACACAAAAAAAACCAACAGTATGGATACATATACCTGTAGATAAATTAGACTTTAGCAAAAATAATCTAATCTAAATCCCATTCTGAAAAACACTCATATTTACATAAATCAAAGTAAAGAGAAATGAAAGTTGAGGAATTTTCCATGAGTATATCTAACTTCTACTATTGATTACAAAATGCAAAAGATTCATAAAAAGAAGGCATGGGCTTGACTAAAAGTAGACAGACTGGCCTGTCACTGATTCAGTGAGAAAGAAACAATATTACAGCAAATATGTGAAAGTACTGTTAAACCGCAAAATCAAGTTTAAATTTTAAAAATGATGACAGAAATGGCCTTGAAATATGATTAGATATAAATATCTTTGTGTATTACATGTACCAACTGTGTTTTTGGAATTGTTGGAATTTTGGAATTATTCTTGAAATTCAAACAGTAATCATAATTTGTAAAGAACCAATGATATTATATAGTGTATTTAATAAAGAAAATAATATTATAGAAAATATTTATTGACTTACTACACTGATGAGTTTTAAACAAGTGTACTTTGTTGACAAACATCTAAAGATTTACAGGGATTGCTAAAGATGGTTATCTCCTTTGGTACATTGATGACTTTCAAAAATATTGATCACAGAAAGCTGATAATTAACACATTACAGACAGTCTCCATGAGAGACATTGAAGCAGCTGTAGTTTATTTCAATTTCCTGGGAAATAATTGTTGAGGTGAAATGGTATTTAAATCTACATAAAATTAAATGAGAGTTCCAAAACCTATTCTACTTGATTACAGCACACTTGACAGTCATTCTGCTTGTACATGTACTCACCTTTCATCATTCAACTATGTTATAACATTATTATGATTAAATCATTCAATTTCAATGTATATCAGCTGTTAGACAAACATTTAGTAGCAACTCTAAAGCATGCTTATGATTTGAATGTAACTTTAAGAACCGTATTACCATCACACGGAAAAAATAACCTCACCAGTAAGAAAAGATCTCTATCACTTAATTTAGAGAACTTTACAGGAAAGATTTGAATGTTTTAACTCCCTAAACAGAGGATCTTAACATCTTTATCATAGGTAAATCAAATGTACATTAGCAACAATGATCTCTATGTCAAAAAAGAAAAGGTTCCAATCATTGATCTGTCTTTACAAGTAAGCTTCTTTCCTTTAATCCCCCTTTTCAGGAAAGATACAAATTTCTAACCTCTCACAGCAAGAAAAATCTGTATCACAGACATCTTTTTACTGGAAAGATTTGAATTAGTGACCTGTCTTTCCCGGAAAGATCGGTATCACCAACAATTCTTTACAAAAAAAGACCTGTATCAATGACAACTCTCCACCTGAAAGATCTCAATCAATGACATCTTTTAACTGGAAAGACATGAATTAGTGATTTCTCTTTCCTGGAAAGATCTGTATCACTGACAATTCTATGAAGGAAAGATCTGTATCACTGACAACTCTTTACCTGAAAGATCTCAATCAATGACATCTTTTTACTGGAAAGACCTGAATCAGTGACCTTTCTTTGATACACGTACATGCTATACGGTATCTGAATTACAATTTTATGTACCTTATCACATGGAGTGTCTCACAAAAATGTATGGAAATCATGTCACAGAAAAGTTCCATGTTGGGCACAGTATTACACTCCTCTCTCAAATATCCCCATAGAGAGACACATCAGATTTTTGTTGTCTGACGACAGACATGGTAGATATTGTGGATGATACAAGGGAGATAAATATGAAAGACAAAGGTTATGTATGGTTGGTTGAATTTAGTATGGTGAGTACAATGGGAAGTTTAATTGCGAGTACACGGCCAATCTAGTCCTCCACACGCAGCAGAAATAATGAAGTACAAGATCACCTACAAAAACAAAGGATAACTGATAGATATAATTAATGCCTGGCAAATGTCTACAACTAAATTATTGAACATTTCTGACTTGTGAATCTGCCACAGATACTAATGAACAAGAGGTCTAAGCAAAAATAAACAGGATATGAAAATGGGACTTATATCTAATATCTAGCAAAATACTCAATGACTTCTCTGCAAAATACAGTACACAATACTTGTGTGTCGATAAAGTATTCACTGCTGGTGAAGTTTCTGTGTCTTCTGCATAGTTACAGCTAATACCATTTCTTACTTTCCAGAAGATATTTTCCATCATTATTTTATATTTTGAGAATATTAAATTAAGCCATTGATTATTTCTTACTTAAACTTCAATAAAATTTCAAAATAATCAGTAACTACCATAATACTGTTTTGATGTTCAAGGTCCTTATACTAACAATGGTAATATCAAAAAATACTTACAATGACAATCACAGCAATAATTATTGTAATCTTCATATTTTTAAACCACATTGATCGAGCAAGGGTTCTACTGCTTTTCTTAAAGGTGACCGCCTGCAGCAACAACAACAAAACATAATGGAACCAAAACAAAAACCATATAATTTTGTTTCCACAAAAATTGTACATATGTCAAAATATGGCATTTACACTAGTTTACATAGGTAAATCTCAAAATCACTAAAGAAAATGTCTTAAAGTTTCAAAATCCAGCAAAATGTCATTACTATTCTTTTGTTTTTCTCTTGTTTTGTTTTTGCTACCAAACAGCTGATTCAATAATTCAAAATCTCAATATACATCAGTCGAAGTCTATTTACCAACAAGAAAACACCTTATCTGGTATGTTACTAAGTATATAATTGTTTATATGAAATGTATGAGATATGTTTTATTCTCAACCAGTAAACAATTTACTATCGAAATTAATTGATCATAGGATCATCTCCATTTTCAGAATCCTTTTCTGCCAAAATTGGATAAATGTCAAGAAATTATGATGCTACTGAAATTGTTTAAGAGCACCAACCAGTAGATTGATAATCTCCATTCAAAAAGAGTTCCTTAATGTGATAACTACTATAGACTGTCGTATCAAACCTGCATGTCTACAACTGATAAGACAAAAGACATGTTGACCACTTACATTAGCACTAAGTTCATCTGTTTTGTCCACCAACAACTCTAGTCTCTCCCCTCTGTCGGCAATTTGATCTGAAATTAAAAGTATCAATATGTTTTACAAAATTTGACATTGAAAATACAATTTGTTTGTTTTGAATTTGTCTATAAGAAAAAAGAGAATAAAACACTTTGATTCCCGAAACCAGAAACATCCTAAAAGTAGTAACATCCTGACAAATTGTTGACTTAATTAACATATTGGTGCAATAAATAACGATGTATATCCTATCAGTAGAAATAGCTTGAAATGAACCCATCATTGTTTGTCATGAAATGATTTACCAGACAAACACATATTTTGACTGTGACAAGGTAATTTTCCCTTAAAACCATATCTAAACAATAAACAACAATACCAATGCTGTTATACAAATTAGTGAACAACTGAAATATGAATATCAGCAACTGCATCTACAAGACAAATCCATCATGGAGTGATTTAATCAATTTCATAGATTGAAAACCTGCTCTGTAAATGAAAATAACTTGTTATACCTGATAGCAACTTTTAACTGCCATACATACCAATATTTCTGACCATGATGCCCTTGAGTTCGTCTACTTGACCTTGAACCTTCTCTACCTGGTCTGGCTCTTGGTTTTCGGTTACAAATTTCTGAAATGCACAAACAAGACTACTTTTTATTTTGCCTTTTGAATTGAACTTGAGAAATGGTCACAAAGGGATTAACCATACATTAATGCTGAAAAATAATTGCTGGAAATTTTTAAACAGATTAATGGTTAAATGTTTTAATCACTAATTTCCTAATAAATTACATTAAAACATTTTCTGCAGCTCATATTATAATAAGAAATTATACTCAATGTATCTATACAGTTTAAACATCTAATACTGATGCTTTATTTCACAAGATGGATTAATCAACATGTTACTGTCAGGCAATATTTTTTCTTTTGACCTGCCCATACAAATCTAAGTTATGGTCAAGATATCAATCTCTTATCTTATTTTCATTGACAGTACATATGTGACTTTTAGATATTTGTCATAGCTAACTACAACTTCTAGTAAGGAAAAAAAAGAGTTAACATAGGGTATGTTACGCTCAATGGAACTCAAATTGCAAGTAAATTTAATTTCTACTTTTAAGCAGCATCAAATTTTGACACTAGATATTTGAACTTAGAAGGCAAGCCTAAACTAGCATCTTCTGTTTGAAAAACACATTCCTCACAATTCTTCAAAGCCAGTTTTTCATTCCATGGCTAATTATATAAACTATAACGGGGACTTTAGAGGATTCACAAACATTTATTTTAAACTTTTCCAATCTGTGCCTTGGCAAATCTAGTTCCATGCTATTTTCGAATACTCACTGTGGAGGAATTTTACTAAAGTGAATTATTATCCGACAAACAATTTAAAACTTTTGCCATTGCACTTAATCTAACTTTCTGTTCAACAATGCAGAAACAAGCATGGTTGATCATGTCTTTTTTGTTCATAATAAGCGATAGACTGACAGAAGGAAAATTGAAAGAACCCTGACTTAATATGAGCATACAGACAAGATACTTCTAGATACATATAAATATAACGATAAACTGTCATACCATTTGTGAAGCCATGACGCGGGAAAACTCGCTATTCATGGCATAAGGGAGAGCAGTCTGTGCCCGCACACCATACTGGGCCTGGAATCTACAGACACGTAAAAAGGAACATACAGTTTGTGAAAATACTAGTTGTTTATGTGCAATAATCAATGAAACTAATAAAATTTGAAGCATCAATTAATATGATGATCACAATAAATTCAATAGTTTCAATACAAAATTATTCATGAAAATAATTATCTATTAAACAAACCAGTTATAAGCAAACTATTTGTTTAATTTATGTTTGGAATGAGGAAATGCATAGCTCACACATTTTTGGATTTCTTGATTTTCAAAATATGTAATATGCTGTATACCTTCTTTTTATTTCATTCAGGAATAAAAACGCCTTCGACCGCTCAAAGTCCTGCAAGATATGAAAGCAAAAAAAAACTGAACGGATGAAGACATTTTTTCTATCAAACATTTTATAAATAAATGCTTTAATCATGCATAAGACTAACAGTCACAGTAGATGGGAAAAGGCTCTAAAGTAAAAGTTAAACTAAAATGCATGACATGTTTTTCTAGAAAAATTATATCAAAGTGATGAAAACTAACTTCATATACAAGATGTAATATTAAAGTTATTACATACAGGATGTGTTGGGAATTGGTTGAATAAATAATTGACTATAATCTGTCAATGCACACCGCTCATATTTTCAATTAATATTTCATTAGTTTATTGTTTTTTCACCATTATTGCAGAATATATTTCACTTGCTAGATTAGGTGATGTCCAATTAATCATGTTTTAGTGTTAATTTTCCTTTAAGTTTGGACAAAAAACAGCAAGTATTGTTATTTTTATCATTGAAAGGAATGAAAAGAATACTACCAACCTGTATATATTTTACATTAATACTGACTCATCAAGATTAGAGATAAACACAAATATTACACTGAGATAACAGATATTACATGTGTAATTTTGTCCTTAAAACTTGAGTAAGTTCCAAAGGAAAATCATGAGTCCAGGATGCATGTATATAGATATATATCAGTCTTTCATTTTTATTGCAACTTTGTATGTTTCATAATACTTGCTTTCACACATCAAATTATCACATTCTAATACAATGCATACATTATCATGGATATTATATCATTAATATATTCATCATTTAACTTTATTGTAAACAAAACATTACTACAAAATATTGTTATAAAAGAATATATCTTTAAAAAATCATCACTGGTCCTGTACTTACATCATCTGTTATACACAAGTACACAATTCTGTCATCACAAACGTAATGAAACAGGTAACTGGAAATACAAAATACAACACACATCAGATCTTAATGCAGTTTATTACGAATCAATATTTCTAAGTGAAAAACTGAAAATCGGTCATTTTGAGGAAACTAATTAACATGAAAAAGGCAAAACCTGAAAAAGCACAGAGCTTTATACCCAGGTAATTACCAAAAAAAAGAGAAATAAAGCATAAATAGTGAATGATTTACCATGACATAACTATTATTTATAAACTTTATTTGCAATTATAAAACAAATAAATTGTAGGAATCTTGCTAGCTTGATAAAGATCTTAAGCAGATTTTTGTATTGATTGGTTCATTTTCATACATTGTACCATAATTGGTATGAATTTCCAGGTACTTAATTTAACTTTATTTAAGGGGATTTACATCCACTATTACGGCCTTTCAGCTTACCAGTGGATGAGTTAAGGTACTGTGTAGTGCAGTTCTATAGTAGCTATTTACAAAATTTTCTTTGGTACCATAAATATATTTGCATGACCAAAATCTTTTAATCTAAAATCAATTTATATATTTGCAAAGTCAGTTTAGTTTGAATATGGAATATTCTTTAAATGAAAGAAAATGTATATTCTTGACCAATGAATGAGTACTTGATTTATCATAATTAAATAAAACAGGATACAGTGTGCACCACAACAATGTTTGTGGTACATTCACACAAAGGGAGAAAACTTTAATTAGTCATCCAGCCACTGGATCTCTTTATAAAATTTTCAAGAGATCAGTCTAACAAGACTTTTTCCCTTCTACAGTACTTTTTCCAATCCAATAACCACACAACTATCACTAAAATATGGGAAAGGTAAGGGAGGCAACTCTGATTAATATACCAATTTTCAGCCATTGAAGAGCGGAGACACACAAAGTCCCACCTATTGATTTCAGTCTGCTTTTCACTTACCATTGTCACTCTCAATGTCCATCTTATGTAAATAAGACACTTTAAGTACAAAACTCGCTTGTTGTCCAGCTAAAAAACCCCATACTAAGCTATTATTAAATTTCTAAAACTATTTGGGAAATGCATGTCTAGAGCAACTACATAAATACAAAAAAAAAAAAGCTAAAAAACCACAGGAAATACTTTACCTTCCATGAGAATAAGTCAGCTTCGAATTCTCTGGTGCTATTTTTGACATAATTTGCTCGGTGACCTCTGTGAAATTGCCTGCACAGCTGGCATATTTAGCTAGGACAGTTGTGCCTCTGGCAACAACTGCAAATAAGATTGGCATTTTGCCGTATGTTTGTCCTTGGCTAATAGTGCTTTGTCAATTCCTGAAAATGGTGAAATATATCATCATTAAATCAAGCATGTTTGATTACAGCATACAAACAAATAGTATACTGGGAGGGGTAGGATGGAGGAGGAGGGGGTTGGTAACATAAAATGTGCATATATAAAATTGACACCCCCATATCTTTTAGAAGCACAGAAATTGAAGAAGTTCCAATATATCAAGGAAAAGGATCCTATTTTGAAAATACCAAATCCAAACCCTGTATGAGATAGATTCAAAACTCCACCAGATCACATACAGACATACTGTTAAGTACAGGTAGTACAGAGTATGGAGAGTTCAGAGATACTGTATGCATGTCATCCCTACTTTCCCTAGACTTATGGTCTTGTAGTCTTAAAGTAATGAGACAGCCAGATTTATTGATACAATATAGAAGATGTCTAACAGAATAATAGATATTGATGGCTTGTGCCATTATATATACCAAATTTACATGTATCATTTGATTTATCTCCATCTTTCAAGGAATCCACCCTTGTCAGACAGCTCCAATTAACATATATCAGATAAACAGGATCTTTTTGTTGAAACAAAAATGCATCAAAAGCAATCTCTTAAGTTATTTCCATTTGGATACTTGAAGAAGAGTTGAATACATGAATGTTTTAATATATCCTTTAATTACAGATAGCTGGAACACCAATTTTTTTTCTCTTTCACAATCTCGATATGTAAAAGTGCAGAAATTACAGTACCAGACCACAACAAAGTACAGCTAAGGCTACATGTTCATTATGAAAAGACCTTGTAGTAAGATTTTTCATAAACCTTCAAAATACTAAAAATCATTCAAATCTTTGTTTTTAATTTTCATTAAAAAACATGAAAAAATCACTTTAAGTCTACAGAAAACCATGCTACAGACAAAGTACTTAATTGTTCTTTTAGTCATACTTGATAATACTCTTGGATTTCCACTGGATATGATACTCAACAAAAAAATAAACACATAAAGTTCTCCTGTACAGTACACCTTGGCTGTAAGGAAATAAAGGAATATTTGGTCAGGTATTACATCAAGAATTATCTCCCTTCTTGACAATCTACCCTAAAATCAGCCAAGCATAATGATGTCATTGTCTGACTTTGTGAGCTTCTTAAATCCAAATCATGTGGTATGATCAAGCTAAGCAGGATTTTTTCAAACAAGTAATTTTGATGGATACTCTTAGTTCAGCCAAATTAATTTTCCACATTAGCATTTTGATTTTGCCATTGACCAAGTTGTCACAAATTCAAAGGAGTAGAGCAATTGGGATGTTGATGGATGGTCATAGCCAAATTGCTGTCACACGGTGTACAAATAACCATCTCTAAACACATTTCCATGCTACTGGGTTAGTTTCCGATCGTCACAAGAGCGGTCGTCCATGTGTAATGACTGCACAACAAGACAGGGCGATTTCATTGTCACAATTGCACAATAGATTCAAGACTGTTGTAAAGACTGTGTCGCATACATTTGGTACTCATGGCTGACCCAGGAATGGCTTGCATACAGAGAGAATCATTATGCATCAACTTTATGATGGGCCACCTCTGACACCACAGAGACGGCAAGTGCATCTTGACTGGATGCACGGACATGGCCTGAATACGTATGGGATAAATCTATGGAGGTGTGTGATGTTCACCAACCAGTCTAGATTCCGTCTGTACTGCTCAGACTGAAGAAAAAGGGTATATAACAGATGCGGTAAGCATTTTTCCTATGATTGCGTTGTTGAACGCGATAGATTTGGTGGGGCTTCTCTAATGGTTTGAGTAGGCATCTCCCATGGAGTAAAATCCCCCTTAGTGGTCCTAGATCCAAACCTCTATACCATTCAAAACAGAAACAAGATTGCCCAGCCACATGTCCTTTCACTTCTCAGACTTCACAACATAATTTCCAGCAAGACAATGCTTGACGGCATGTTGCCAGAGTGTCGTGATTCCCTCATGGTAAACAACACTTAGCATCTGGAATGGCCCCCCCATATAGTCATGACATGTCTCCCACTGAGCATCTGTGGCATGAGTTGAACAGGCATATTAGGAAACGTTGAAGCCCGCAACTAACCATGCCCAGTTGATTGTAGCATTAACACAAGAAGGGAACGACATTCCCTTAAGGCAAATTAATGTTCTCATGAATTCAATGCAAAGGAGAATCCATGTGGGGATTCGTGCACGAGTTGCCAACACCAGGTACTGAAGTGTCATTTTGCATTTCGCAGGTATCCCACTTTGAGTAACTTAAGAAAGGGCTTCTGATAAAAAGTATAACATATGCTCAACCCTGATGCAATCAAACAAAAAAAATCAACAAGCCAGGAAGCTCAAATTTCATCCTAGAATTAGCTGTGTTTGAATATGTTAACTGCGGGTTTTCTTTCTCATTCACAAATTTGAAACAAAAAAATCCAGACAGACAGATGTGCACTATAAGATTATCAGCAATCTAGCACTGAAGTGGTTCTTTAAAGTATGTAATCATGCAGGGTTAATATTCCAAAAGGTTCTGACTATTGACCAACTTTGTCATGGAAAAAGATGTAACATAAATTATCAGAGAATATTTCTTTAATTCTTCAGACAAATGATACTTGAATATAATAATGGGAATTTTGAGACAGTTTTACAGATTCTTACAATATAAAAGGAAATTAGAAGATTTAACATGATAAGATTCCATTCACATTGTCATCACCTGTTCTTGAACAACAGTTGTGTTGTGAATTGGTTAGTAGATAGCTATAGTCAGTATTACTACCATAAGCATATGCTTTATTGTAATGTGGGTGGAAATTCAAAGTGGTTGAAAGACCTAAAAAACCAACAAATTGCATGGATCTGCCTTTTTAAGATTGGTCGCAGGAACCTTTATCACAGAACAGCCTGAGAACTTCTGACACATTGCAAAGTATCCTTTCAGGTGGGAATGAGAAAAATAAACTTGATTATACATAATTTGAAAAGCATGTTGCCAAATACTTGCTTGAAAAGTAAGTTTAACCAATGAATATTCAAGCACACATGATTTCCTGATTTCCAGTTCAAGGCTCCAGAATCTCTATCACTTTTCGTAAATGAGTAAATGTATTGTCTGTCTTACATGGAATGACCCATGTAGGTATGAAACTTATTGAGGTACTTTTCACTTGCATGTCTTCAATACAATATTTCAATACATTATTATATATTTGATAACTAATAAGATTTTATTTAATGATTTGAATGTATCTTTCATGACCTTTCCATACACATTGTGAAAAGATGAAACAGACAGTTCGACATGTCAATATCATCATATTGATAAGATGGTGTTCGATTTTAGACAGTTTCTATCTCTTTAAGTCATACATTTGTATTTGATACTGCTAATTCTGTTAGTCCTTTAGTGTCAATTTGATTATTTCACGAGAAGTAAATTAAATAACCAAATGGTGGTTTTCATTTACCATACAAACCTGTTCTCAAGGTAAACTGCACATACACACGTGTCTGCTACTATGTAATGCGACTTATCACTAGGTTAAAACATACATTTCCTGCTTCAGTGTGTGTTGACATTAAATCACATGACTCACACTCAAATGACTTTTCATGATAATCAGCATATCACGTCAATTACGTGTACTAATATCGTAATATACAGAAGTTTTTCGTCGAAAAACAAAAAAATACGGCGCATATAATGTACTGTCTCTCATAACTTACCGTGTTACTCAATAAAATAGGTCGTAATCTTGAATTTGTGTCGATGTTTACAACATTACCGCAAAGAACAGGAAGTGACGTAAAACTTTTTCCCGCGGTTGATAAAATATACGAATCGTATATAATACGGACTCATGTGACATAACATCACATGACGGCGGTCAGGGGTGACGCATATGTTGTTAACTTAAAAAAAAAAAACACATTTTGATTTGTATTGTACCTGACACCTCCTTTTTTGACATTTTGAAATATTAACCCAATTAATTTTATGATAAACACGGATTGTATTATAAATAAGACGGAGGATCAATAATTATAAAATAAAACTAAAATAAACGTACAATAACATTTACTAATAAAAGCCACGTGTACCTGACGGCAATGACTCGGGGCATGACCCCCATTTTTAGTTATTCTCATGTGCTTTGAAGTGCCGTATTGTATTAGATCTCTACACTGATGTGTAACGATATAATTTCGGTTTATTATTCTTACCAATAATGGCCACATGTTAAATATTAGAGAGGGCGTGTGCCGGGTGTACTCCTGTGTGGGTCCGCCTCTGGCATTATATTCCGATATTGCAAGACTTTATATAAAATTGAGATGTCGTCAGAACAAAGTTACGCTCAAAACATTTTTGTAGATCAGACCCTGTATTGTGCCACTTTTTTTATAAACATTTCATCTTTATTCCCCACCTTAGAGACTGAAAATAAACCCTTAAGCGAATGTAATCTGGAAGTATATTACGTCACTACGTCCCTGATGCAACGGACAACGGGGGCACCAAGCTCCTTGTTCGATCAGAAATAGGTCATTTAGACTTGAATAATTTTATTGGAAAAAATGAAAGGATGTTAGATTTTATTGTCAAAGCCATGTTTTCCCGGTTTACAATTAAGATATTTAGATATACTGAGGTCTGCAGGTTAGCCAGGAGGAAACCTGGTCTGTTCTACCTAACTATACATATGGAAATCAATGGAATTCTCATTTCTGTTCCATTTCACGACACTTTCGCGAAGAATGACTTTAAGCACGATTTCTGGTTTATTTCTCCATTAGTGAAAATATAGAAAAAGGGATTTGTTCCGAACTGGCCAGTGCTGGACGTATGAACTGTATTGATTAAAGATTACTATTGGTTTCATAAGAGAACAAGACCCTTTGATTAACTGCAGTCATGTGAACTCTTGACCTGTAATATAAGGCATAAGGAAAAAACACAAAATTCATATTTTTATCGACAGATTGTTGGATTCTCCTTATACGACTGCAATGGCCGATCTACTTTCGAAAATGTATTACCAAAAAGGTCCATTTATGATAAGGAACTTATCAGCACGCCTCTGAAATAATTTGACAATCACAAATACTGGCTGTCATTCTACTACTATGCAGATGTAATGCTCCTGAGTACAGAGAAGTGAATAATGATTTAAATATACAAATACAACTTCTTTGTCTTAAAGTGTTTTGAGGTTTACTTTATATATATATATATCTTGTATAATATACACATGCCTGTTGTGAATCAGCTTACTGCTATTAAACTCATTTATTTGAACTTTGTCTCATGTATAATTCAACAGACCACAAGACGCGTGTACAGTAATATTTTGTTTCTATGGTTTTAAAGAAAGCATTGTTAACATGTCATTGTTAATTAAGCTCAAAGTAAGATGTCCTTGTTCACCTCTTTTTACTTCGCCACAAAAATTCAAACATGAGGGTGACATTTTAATCATATCCAAGTTCGATCGATCTATTTCACTCTCCTCCATTAACTAGGGCAATGTATGACCTAAATTTATGAAAATTACGAAATTTGTTGAATCATAGGGTTAGTACACCTCCATGTATAGAGTTTGACTTTTCCTCCGATCACTTTGAATTTTCCTCCGTCGCCTCCTAGGCTTCAATCTTAGGATCCTTATCATCACTGACGAGCCTTAGAACGACGAAACAGATGTATGATGCTGTTTAGAATTCTAAATTTGTGTCAAAATGTACTATTTACTTCTGTGTCGTTTGTACATTCTTCATGCCTTAATGCTGAAAACGCCGATATGTAAACATACCATAAGTGAAACGAAAATTCATGTTGAAATGTTATCGATACTGATGAAACTGAATTGGGTCCATTTCCTTTATATTGGAAAGGAATTATTGGCTAAACCATGCTGCCTTTTTTGCGTCTTTTTTACGTGTTTGCCATAACTTAACACCCTTGTTTGGGTGAAGACTATCATCGAGTTTTGCCCCCACTAACCTGTACTTTGAAATAGAGGGAAGTAAATTGTTTATAGCACAGGCACCTATATTTGGAAAGTTAAAAACACAAGCAAAAACCCAGTCCATTATAACACCATACAAATGCTATATTGGGCTTGATGTTTGCTTGTGTGTTTATGTTCCAGATACAGATGCCTGTGTTTATAGTAACATAACACTTGAGCAAAATCCGTATTCTATTTTACACTGGAGAGATTACTGAAAGCTTTTACGAGCAAGACAAGGTGAATTAAATCATTATGCTTGTTTACATACACAACTCCTAGCATCAAGCAGTCCTTACCACCGCCATGATCCGATTCTTGTCAGCTGCCTACCTAGAGGATGTCTCTAGCATCAGTGGTGAAGTCACTGATTGATAATACATAACACAGGTATCGCAAGACTAAAGTCATGCGGTCGCAACAGTCCGCATCCCTACCTCCAGCTTTACATTGACAACACATCCCTGATATTGGAATAATTTCTGATATAAAATCAATCCAACCGTTGCTGATTGTGGAGTCTAGACCCTATCTGTACTTTTTGTAAGACCGACTTCGTCTTTATGAGCCCTAAGTACATATTGACCGATGTCGTCTACGACCATCGTCTGACAGATGTCCTGTTGTGTGGGATCTGCTTTACTCTAAAATCGAGACCAAGACAGTCACCGACATTCAGTTCGAAATGTCAGGAATACTGGGTTCTTTCAAATTTCCTTTCTAAGCTATGTTTGTCTTCAAGACCTTGAATTGCAAAAGGTTCTCTTATATTGCGTCAGAATTACTGATACTGTCTTTTGGAGGTGACAGTTGAGAGCGAAATGTACTTTTAACTGAGAGTGCAAAAAATACGAGCATAGTCAACAACAGTGTAAGATGTGGGGAAGCGTTAACTTTTCGTGTCACCATTGTGATTCTGTCAAAATAAGACAAGCAAAGTCAAGCAGAGAGTAAAAATATGAGAGGTGTTCCCTTTTCGGGTCACCATTGTGATTCTGTCAAAACAAGACAAGCTAAGTCAAGCAGAGAGTAAGAATATGAGAGGTGTTCCCATTTCGTGTCACTGTTGTGATACTGTCAAAACAAGACAAACAAAGTAAACCCTAGTTTACTTTAAGACTTTATGGTTTCATAAAGAATGACCAAAAAAGTGGTCACTGCAAAAATCAACACTTCGCTGTGTGGGCCCGTAAAACAGCACAACTCGACACTTAACTTGTACAGTTAATATATCTAAATCGATTTCAATGTAAGAAGTGCGTAATGTTTGGGGCGTAATGTGGCCATAAAAATACAATTTGAAGTTAGGAGATAAATAAAATCATTCAATATGTGCGTATCAGTATGCTCATCGCACAGGCGTGATGGCTGTGAACTGCAACAAAATGAATTCCAAATTAGAATTTCCTGTTCATATCGTTGATACACGCCATAGTGTAATGTGTGGCCGAATCGACTTTGTGTTTGATATGATCGTCATCTCACACACATGGACCAATTTTTTGTTTTGTTTTTGTTTATTTATATCATACTAGTCCTCAACACTTCATAAATTAATACTTCACTTCTTGTGATTTATCTACCTTTATACGCGTTTCTGTAATTGCCACACCATCATAATGGTATTTCCTATAGTCTATTAGTTTTGGGACGAAAACACTATATACTGTTCTATGGTAATTCGAAGAAATCATTCCGTGGCTTATGCAAAAATCAAGGTTGGCATGTACTACCATCCACAGCGATTTCAGAGTCTTCACGTTTGCATAAATGGTCAAAATTTGTACACTACACGTATCCTACTACGTCGCAATCTGTAAAGTGGGATAGTCGGACCGAGGATGTAAAAACAATTCAATTAAGCTAATTGATTGTACTAGCAACCTTTACAACTTTGGTGGTATTCATCGTCGTGTGACATGGTTGTGTGGACAGTGATATATATCCTTGCACGCAGGTAAGTAGGCATTGGAAACACACATCAAATCGCCACGTGTTGTTAGCTTCACATGAATGTTTTTAACCTTAAATATCATTATTTATTTATTTTACTTTTATTATTATTATTAATTATCAGTTATTTATCAATATTATTAATTATTTACGTCTTATCACAAAGTGTGTTTAAGAATTAGACTTAAGAATAATCCCTGGACGGGCTTATGATCTACAATGATAGTATTAAGGATAATTACCAGGGAACGTGCATATCACATGTGTTATATGCTATGATGCTGTTATTGTAAATGATATGAACTCGAATATCACACATACAATAAGTGTCCGTCAGCGCTGAGTGGAAAAATAACACAGGTATTCCACATATAATATCCTATTTATCATCGCGATCTTGACAAAAATATTCTAAAATTAAAAATTCAACAAATGACAGACAACCAAAGATAATCGACATGAAATGTTTTATTTTCATAACCACTTCCACATCAGTCGTTATACTTGATTGATGACGATGACGTCACGAAGGAAATATATTATTCAACTAAATTGTTTTGTTCTACAATATTATGTCAATGTATTGACGATGATCAGTGCTGTGAAAAAAAAGAGGAATTCAACCATCTGGGACAGTGGGTAGAGTAAAAACAGTTCTCTGATATATTTAATAATTTATTACTTACCTGAAATATCAAAATTATATTTTGAAAATCTGACTATCTATACTAACGACCGCTCAACAAATACACTGGATACACCACACAGATTACAAACAAATTTTCACACAACTTTTGTTCAAGTTACAGATATTGATATATTTTCATTTGTCCGTTTTCGTTTCCTACCCACAATTGTCCCTCGCCATTAAGTCCTAAAGATGTGGGACATGTTATACCGTCTTCCTTCCGCAGCAGAAAGCTGACGAACTGACCATGTTTGTCCACGATGTGTATACAGTGATTATTGGTATCAGCTATTAAAAGCCTGCCGTAGCTGTCACACACAATACCACAGGGGGAAAATGGCCTTTCCCCAGCCGATACCGATCTTCCGTCGTAGATAAATTTAAGATTTCCAAGACTGTCTAACACCACGACTCGCCCTGATCCCATAGAGGTCTTGTCTGTCACACAAATGTCTCCATTGATGTTCTCCACAACACGGTAAGGTCTCGTGAAAAGTCGTTTGTTTCCGTCCATGTATTCATACACCTGCACTTGTTGACCTTGACTGTCTAGTCTAGAAACCATGCGCCTACTTGTTTTAGTAACTGAAGTAGAATATTGGTCCATGAGACAAACCAGCAGACTTCCGTCAGATCCTGACGCCAAGCCTCGTGGATAGAACTCAGTTGACACGAGCTCTCGTACATTTCCATTTTCCTCAATTGCCCTAATTGACCGATCCTGGAAGCACGACATTACGACAGAACGGTCATTCCTTCTGACCAGATCATCAATCATGACACCCACTCGCAAACTACTGATAACATGGCCGGCTCCGTCCATAAACACAACTCTATCTGATTCACAGCCACAACAAATTGCTGTTTCACCCTGTGACACAGGCGCCATTGCATGTATGGATTCATTCACGAAATCATCGTCATTATCCTCATCTGCCACTTCGGAACAATGGAACTCTGATACAAAATTGATGTTAACATCTTGTGGATCTCCATGACACATAGAAACAGACCGAGACCAGGTAAACCCAGAATTTCGTGTAGAACAGTGCCCAAAACCGTTCCTTAACGTGTCTATTGCAAGTTCTCCTGTCTCGAACTCGACATCTAATTTTTGTAACTTTGGCAATGACTGTCCTGATTCTAGTCGATCAAATAACTCGAGTGATCGTTTACTTATAGACACTACTTCAACATCTGTTCCCTGTTTTAATACTCTTTGTGTCCTCTTGATACTCTCACCGACAGCCAATAACTCCTTTTCTAAATCTGTCCTGAATTGCTCCAATCTGGTCAGACCCAGATATTCTTTAGAATGAACATCTTTGATCATCTCTGCCTTAATGGCGTCGATTTGGTCTTTGATACTTTCAGAACGTTGAATTATGTCAATGACTACGCTCTCTGCGTTTGTTTTAATCGCAGCAATCTGCTTCGGAATCTTCTCTAGTTTTTTCTCCAGCACACCGACGTATCCCATTAAAACCGAATCCACTTTCTCCTCCATTTGTCTTCTCCTGTCTCCTACAATGACCTTTACTGGCCTTGTCCTATGTCCTTTATGTTCCTTTGTGCGGCATATTTTACAAACAGCCGTGTCACAAGGTCGGCAGAAGTAGGCGAGGTCTTCATCATGGACGGAGCAACAGCTGCCAGATAAGTCTTCTGCCTCGGTGTAGACATTCCCCAGCATTGTGATGCTGTGATGTTTTGATGCTTTGCTTCGTCTGTGAGACTGGTGACAGAAGTTACACAGCATTTCCCGACATTCCTTGCATCTGGCCTCAGCGGGTCGCCTCTCCTCACAGAGGTCACATTTTCGGTCATTTCCATTTTCGCCTACAACTGCCTCCTGGCAGTGTGTTATGGTGCCGTTGACCAAACAGACCGGACAAATAATATTGCAGTCGATTTTCTCATTTGAATTCAATCCGTTCTTAAGACACAACTTACAAAATGTGTGAGCACATTTCAGAGTAATGGTTTGGGTTGGAACCTCCCAGCATACACCACATTTGAGATACTCGTCAGATTCCTGGAGTATAGAATTGTACATTGTAAGACCGTTCTCCCTGTCATGAACATGCTGCCCTAAAGAGGGCACTTTTTGTAAAACCATCTAAATATATATGTTTTCCCACGTTATGTGCATTCACTTGTGAACTGTGCTCTTGATTGCGTCGCTCGATTTATATATGATGTATCAGGGTAAAAACCTAATGTCATTTGTTATCAGATCGTCTTATCTGTCATAGGCCATGCATACAAATGACTGCCGACACTACCTGTTGTACCTGGGAACACTAACCGCCTCTCATTAGCAAAACGTGCCTCGAGCTAATGTCGTCACGGCCTTCTAAGAAACATTACGATGTAGTAGGAGACGCAATTAAGGTCAACACATATTGTTTTGCTATTCGTACAAAGGTGTCTTTTAAGTATTACTATGATATATTGCATTGGACTTATCACTATTAACAGGATATGTTTTGTTTTGCGATTTAAATGATAATAAAGATACACTCCTACTGAAAACAATCAATGGTAATAAATAATTACATATTATAATGTTGAACATATGTAATCAACAATATTGAGCTTATACCTAATTGTTGTTTTTGTTATACAATTATTATCATATTTCTCATGATCAAAACCTGATTGATTTCATTAATTAAGAAATCCTGACTGTAAACAGAATTTTGAAAATATTTAAACAAATATTTGTGCGAATGTGAAAATATGACATATGATTGAAAAGGAAATCGTTAGCACAAATTCTAAGTAACTGAAAAGTTACATACGTACGTTGTTAAATTACCAGTGCTTGTGGTGTGTAAGAGATACGAATGTTATATAGTCCTCTCTATTCTCTGTGTAGATTTCGCGATATCAAACCGCACCAACAACGTATACCACAATGACACCGCGGTGATTTATCTTATCCTCGTTTTTGTTTGCGGCCGGACCCTATTATAACATAATAATTTATACATATTGCGCCAAGCTAATGTATCATTTATACCTATATGGCGAGCCGCTGTGTTTGGTATTACTGCGTATGTTGGGGTTGTCAGGTGGCCCGCAGTACAGCTGGGCCGTCGAGACAGTACACAAACCACAAGTAATGGAATCGCTCGTAAAAATCAGTTATTGATGGCGACAAATGTCAAGCTCAAACTTTGAAAAATGACCTTCATAAATAACACAACGAAAACAGTGGTAAAAGTTGAGAAAAAATCCAATCATGAGATTTCAGGAAAATTGCAAATTGCATTTTGACGCCAACACTTTTAGCGGCCAATTTATTGCTTTCTGAAATGCCAAATATCGTTGCCTGTTCTAACAATAATTGGCATGTAATGTTGAACGAACTTTGCATTGAAGCAAATTAGTGACTTCTTCACAAGTTCACGATTGTAACAATACGATTTGAAAGTCTCACGCAAACCTCTTATTCTAAATAGAAGTTAATGCTAGTCAATTAAAACGAAAGTGGTACGCACGGTAATCTCACTTATAACCTGAATTTCTTGATATCCATATTTTGGCATTTCATTCTACATTTCGTACTTGGGTTTCTTCCATCAGCCACTTCCTGAAATCTGAGGGTCCTTGCCCTAGAAAGGGGAAACAGCTGTTTATTTTTGTTTTTTTTTTACATCTCATGTAATCACTAAAAATATATATATGATATCGAATTTCATTAATTCGTAGCAATATCTTTAATGGCAATTATTATGTGAGCTGTGTACATGTACATGTATACATATTTATACCTACGGACTTGTTCATTGATTCACTGAGGGATATCTTATTCACTTGAAGATTGGAAATGAATTTAAATATCTTTATTTTTTTATATATATATATCTGATAACGTCCGCATTAGATTAAATGATATCTCATTGTAATGTAAATATTGATATACAATACATGTTTACCACTTATTTATTTACGTAAGTTATAAATATCGTCTTTTTAAAGACTAATATCATAAAAAAAAAAAACTTTATTTCCAAATTTAAAAACAAAAAAATTTATCATGTGAATGAAAACAACTATGATCTGATTTCTAATCGTTTATTTCTCTAAAAAGTCTTCTGAAAACATTTCCCGTTTTCTGTCTCCTGTATTTTTTTTTTGTTTTTGTTTCGTCCAAATAATGTATTTCAGGAATGCGTGTGTTTTATTAGACAATATTATGCAGGTGTTGTAAATGTTGCGAAGTAAATCTCTACACATGAATACAGTACACACAAAACCAAATTTAAAAGAGACAGAAAGGAAAAATAACTTAATAAGGAGAGTTCTAAAAACCTATCTTATACTTCAGTAACGAATTCTTTGTAAGGTCACGTATGAAGAATGAGAGCAAATTAGAGGAGTGGGTTGAAGTGATGATGAAATGTGACCGATAATGACATATGATAATCATCATGTGTCTTAATTCTCTAAACCACAATGTGTCACGTGATTGGTACCTACTCTGGCTATCAATCACCACCAGTGTTCCTTCCTGCACAAGTATGGTGTTTTCCTGCACTTTGTAATGTGCCACACGTATGGTGTTTTCCCGCACTTTGTAGAGTGCCACATGTATGGTGTTTTCTTGCGCTTTGTAGAGTGCCACATGTATGGTGTTTTCTTGCGCTTTGTAGGGTGCCACATGTATGGTGTTTTCCTGCACTTTGTAGAGTGCCACATGAATGGTGTTTTCCTGTACTTTGTAGAGTCCCACATGAATGGTGTTTTCCTGTACTTTGTAGAGTGCCACATGTATGGTGTTTTCCTGCACTTTGTAGAGTGCCACATGTTTGGTGTTTTCTTGCACTTTGTAATGTGCCACATGTATGGTGTTTTCCTGCACTCTGTAGAGTGCCACAAGTATAGTGTTTTCCTGCACTTTGTAGAGTGCCACATGAATGGTATTTTCCTGTACTTTGTAGAGTGCCACATGCATGGTGTTTTCCTGCACTTTGTAAAGTGCCACATGTATGGTGTTTTCCTGCTATTTTTAGAGTGCCACATGTATGGTGTTTTCCAGTAGTTTGTAGAGTGCCACATGTATGGTGTTTTCCTGCACTTTGTAGAGTGCCACATATATGGTGTTTTCCTGTACTTTGTAGAGTGCCACATATATGGTGTTTTCCTGCACTTTGTAGAGTGCCACATATATGGTGTTTTCCTGCACTTTGTAGAGTGCCACATGAATGGTGTTTTCCTGTACTTTGTAGAGTGCCACATGTATGGTGTTTTCCTGCTATTTTTAGAGTGCCACATGTATGGTGTTTTCCAGTAGTTTGTAGAGTGCCACATGTATGGTGTTTTCCTGCACTTTGTAGAGTGCCACATATATGGTGTTTTCCTGTACTTTGTAGAGTGCCACATATATGGTGTTTTCCTGTACTTTGTAGAGTGCCACATGTATGGTGTTAGACAGAACATACATAATATGTCCCATATAATTTCATTGTGCGATATTTGTTCTATGCCTAATCATATGCTTGTGGTTCATTTTTTTATTTAAGAACTCGACCTTCATGAGAAGACCATCATTTATATGGCGGATATCGTTGATGAAGCAGAAGACACCGTTTACCTTTCCGGAACCAATTATTTATTCCTATATTCCGTACAAATTTTACTTTCGTTCATATTATCGTATTTGTGATTTGAAGTTTGTCAACATGTCGATATTTTCTGTTAATTCTCAATTAGTAGATTTTCTACTTCAATCAATATTTGATGGTCTGATGTTAATCTTAAGTTGGTTTTCTGTGGCACGGCATTTAGTGAAACCATTGGATTTGATTTTGAGAATAAACTACAAAATGCATACTTCTCTGTACATTTGTAGTGTAACTTGTTCATGCTGTACCCGAGTACAGAAACTAGGTTAGAGTGAGTTAATCACTCTTCCTACATTAATATTCAATATCTTCAATACACACCAATGACTTTCCCTCTCTATTTATATGTAATTTGAATCGTATCGAATTTATCCTTAAATCGATAATAGTCATAAATTATTAATTTTTGCGACATAAATATCACAACATTAGTCTGTCATACATCCGTTACATGTTGAGTCATCATACAATTGTAATATTCAGTTTGATTGATGAAGCGGATCTAAATATTTCTTCTAAACATAAATACAATGACTAGTCATTTCACTATAAAAATGTTAAAATCACTATTTTTCAGCAAAATTATTTAAGGCGTGTTCCACAGATCATACAAGTCAACATAATTCATCATGATGCACTCAAAATGATGCAAAATGTTTTAAAATTACTTCACTAGCTAATATCAATGGCTCATAATTATGTTGTTAGCATTAAGTACTGAATGTATAACACTCATATTAAAAAGTATTGGCTTACCAACAGTTTATTATTGACTTAATTCTATATGTATTTACAGCCACGCGTCATTTAAGGTCGATCCAGGTTTTGGTGGTGAAGGAAAGCCAGAGCTCCCGGAGAAAGAAACATGGACCTGCGGCCAGTACCTGGCGTCCCAGAGGTGGCGGACTCGTAACAAAGACGATCAGACGCCCTAACCACTCATGTCAAAAGAATTCGAATTCAAACTAACATTCGATGAAAATATGAATGAAAAAAAGGTTAACACGGATATTTCTGAAAAAAATACGTGTTTTGGAATAGTAAGAGACTTCTGTTTCATCGATGATACCCAGCATGTATAAATCCTGGTCAATCCAAGTACATAATGGCACGTTGCCAAATGAGAATAAATTAAAATTAAAACGGAACAAGCAGGTAAACTAACGAACAACAAACACGTCCATCTTGATATCACACAAACAAATAACATTTTTTCTTAATAAAGTCATTATGACGAGTGTGAGACTGTCTTATGGCGTTTTGTAACGAGGATAGCTTAATGCTCGTTCACCAAAAGGCTTATATTCCACATGTATGTGATAGTTTTATCTTAGATTAGGTAAAATATTTTATTTTTCACTAATACATGCACCGTTTGCACATATATAACTGTGTAATCTCTCTGATATCGAAAGATAGCCCACACGCTGACATTTGTTAAGCTCGTCGTTAACCTAACAATACTTGGTACGACTAAGGTCTAATC